AATTTTTACTATTTCCTATGGGCATATAAATTACTGAAATATGCATTACAAATATGTTTTTACAATTATTGGAATTTTTTCTCCTATCAGCTAATTAACATTATGAAAACTTTAATTTCATTTCACTTTGTTTGTTTTAATTAATATGTATTTGCTGGAAAGTATTGCCACCTTCTGAAAAATTTATTAAATTGCAAAAATCATTTTACAGTATCCTTTATATTATAAATTTTTCATTGAAAAATGGTAAATAAATGTTCATATAATGCCAAGAAGTTATGAAAGTGACATACTACATAGCATGATCTGAAAAATGTTTTCTTTCAAATCATACTTGCCACATACATAAGGAACATTTTAATTATATGATAGTGTTGTCACTAAATGTAAAATTTGTCTATCCCTATTTCTTTTAAATGTAATTCAAATAAGCCATAATACAATTAAAAAATAAAACATTAGTATACATGAATGTGTATTCAAATAATAATAAGTTAAAATAAACAAAAACCCAAATAAACTGAATACAGCAGAGTGTTGTTTATCTGAAAGCCGATCAACTGAAACATCGATTAACCGAAAGAATTCCAGTCGGACTGTCTCATGCTGAATTGAATGTTTCTGATACTAGATTAACTTCCAAAATATAATTTTTTATATTTTTCAATATATTTATTTTGTTTGTACAAATAAAGAAATAATTTTTAACTATACAATAGCCACGATTATTATTTTAAAAAACTTACGTTAGTCTTAACATCGATGAAAATTCAACACAAAGCAACATGCAATGGAGAAAAGTTTCAACATGGGATAGGGATAGGTTAATATATTTTTTCATACATAATCAGTTATCCAAAAAATAAGTTATCTGAACAACTCCAGTTCCCAATTGATTCGGATAAACAACACTACTGTAATATGATAAATTCATTAAGTGATGGAAAAGATTTCAAAATTATTTTCATGCTGTATACATGAATAATTTATGAATTTAAATATAAATTTTTCTTATAATTCTTCAGAATCTTCTCAGTATATATATTTTTATTTATTTGTTAACTTTGTATATAATTCTCAAATTTTGATAATAAATAACAAGTTAACAAATTACATTTGGATCTATCTTGCTAATGTATAAAAGCAAAAGCAAAAAATTTATTTCTTTTACAAATTATTAAAATTCTTCATTTACACCTTAATTTTATATTTTCTTTATTAGATTTATTTTAAATTTGATAAATTCTACATAATTAAGAATAGTATTCTGCAAAACTGTTTTTCTCTCTAACTCACAAATAAAAAAAAGTGCCAACATTTCATATTTCATCATAAATATTAATTTTTATCTATTTTAATTTTAAATTTACCATGCAAGATAAAATAATATAGGCAATATTCTATTACATTTTAATAATTCTTATTATAATTAAAATTTGTTAGAAGGAAATTAATTGAACTATTCTGAAGATTAGAATTTAACACTTAATACTTCAATAAAAAAATTTATATATAATTTTTTGATTTTAGTTGGTTTTTTTTTTTTGGTGCTTTAATCAGAAAATCATAAGTAATAATACAAAAATCGTTTCAGTTAAAGACTGATTATATAAATTAACAGTTCAGCTAGCTGACTTAAAGTTCATAAAATATTTTTTATGAAAAATTAAAACAAATACAATTATAACATTACATTTGCTTTCAATATTTTTTCAAGGCATTTTAAAAACCATAAAATTTTTTTTTTAAATAAAAATTAAGGATAGGTGATTTAAATGGAAATTAATTATACTTAAATAATAAAATTATGCATAATTTTTCTATAATAGTTTCGTATATTCTTTGGCTTAAAATGGCTAATAGAAGTTGTTGTAATGTATTTTGAATTAGAACTCGACGTTCCTCAATATAGCAAGACTCACCTAAATAACTATTTTTAAAGACAGGCAGAAAAAAAAATTGCTATTAGAAAATACTATCTAATGAGAGAATGAAGCAAAAATGATTTTGAAAATATACATTAAAATAAAATATAAGCACACCTTGATGTATTTTTTCTGTTTAAATATAAATAAAAATATATTCTATAAATTATATTTTGAATCTTTATAAATATTCCTATATTCCTTGTGAAATACCAACTTAAACTTAGAACATCTAAAATTGATTTACAGTATACAGTGGAACCTTGGTATACGACCTTAATCCGTTCCTGGTGTTTGGACTTATACCGAATAGGACGTATACCAAACCAACCTTTTCCATAAGAAGTAATGTAAAAATGATTAATCCGTTCTCATGTAAAAAAAATTGCTGGCTTTAAACACCTGGCTTTCCTCGCTAGTTTCTGCTTGATTTTTCATGAGATCAGCATGTATCCTTTTAACTTTCTCGCAAATAATTTCTTCCGATACGCTGTCGCCGGCACACTGTTTTTCAGTTATCTAAAGCAGAAGCAATTTCTCGACATGATCTAATTCTTCGATCTCTGTTTAGAAATTGATTTAACCCCTTTCGCAACGTTAGCAAATTTAATACAGCAATGTCTTTATTTTTCACGATTGTCGATATCGTCATTCTCGGAATACTGAATGCAACAGTTAAATCTCGTTAAATCTCGAACACGCGTGCCACCTTCATATTTCTCAACAATCACTTTTTTCAGTCCTGTTAAGATTCTAGACATTTTTTTATTTTTCTGTTGCCCTTTTGCAATTCATGATTAATAAAAATAATAAAATTAAACAATTTAAAATCAGAAGAAATTTTAAAAAGTTATAAACTGTAGCACTGTGAACGTCTAGTCTAGTGTAGTACACCAATAGTGCTACTTGTTCATAGATGGCGCATATAATTAAGTCGTATACCGAACAAAAGTCGTATACGGAGCAAAATTTGTTTTGTCCAAACAGGACGTATTCCGAATTGGACGTATTCTAAAGCAGACGTATACCGAGGTTCCACTGTATTTGAAGTTTACATCACTTAAAATGCTACTTAAAATGTATATTTGAAAATCCAGATAAAAATTCAGACTGGGGCCTGATTCTGACACTTCACTATAAATTATTTTATCATCAATTCCTATTGGCCTATAAAATTATTTTATGTTCAAAAATATTTCTACTGGGATCTCTAAAAAAGCTTTGGGCACACATCAATTTAATATTCTTTCCTTTTTCATTTACTTCCTTTATTTTAATATAATTCCTCAATTTTCTACCTTGCCTAAGTATGCATTTTGCCCAGGATCACATCACCCTCTGCATAGCCCTGCATAAAAATGTATTATCTTGAACCAGTTGTTTCCAACTAGTTTACAGTGAAGTCCTTCCAAGTGTGCTGAGAGACAAAAAAACCCAAGAGCTACAAATTTAAAAATTTGTAAAAAATAACATTTTTTGTACATCAGCAACAACATTTCAGAAGTTTATACCAAAAACCTATCATAGAAAAGACGTACTGGTACAAATTCAGCTTTGAAATAAGGCAGTTGGAACCATATCACAACTAAAGACCAGGGGTGCACAACCCACAGCCTGCATTAATATTTTTGCAGTCCACATCACACAAAATATTAATAAATATATAAATTTCCATAATATTTAAGGAAGTATGCCACAAAAATTTTATCATCATTTTTTACAACTTATGTACACAGTTTTTTCTGTAACAAATTTAGTAAGAAGTACAACAAGAAAGTGGCTAACAGACTCAAACCAAAACTAGCAGTGACTAATATCCAACCAAATATTCCGGATATATTACATTTGCATTAGTTCCAGAAGTCAAATTAAGTATACTTACATTAATTTATAATCATGCATGAATAAATAATTGCAATTTATCCACAACTTTTTTTTCCTGCTGCGTGCAGTTCACATTTTTTCCTCCTCCTGTGTGCCTTGTCAATTCAAGCTCAAAACACGACCCTCGCAGAAAAAGGTTGTCCTTCCCTCACCTTAGTTTGTTTAGTTAAGTTAAAGCAACACAACACTTGGGCGATCTGCTTAAGGGGAATGCCTTCCAAATCTTTTTAAGGATAACTGGCCCCTATTAAGGTGTTACAGACATGGAGAATACCCAGAAAACCCCACGTGGCCAGCCCGTCCCAGTGAGGCATGAAGCTACAACCAAGCTCCCAGTGTTCAGGGAATGGAACCACTTGACCACTGATGGGTCTCCCCTCCTTAGATCAATCCCACAGGAATAAAGAAAAAAACATCAAAACGAACCAAAGTCTACGTGTGACCCTTTGCAATATTTATTTGAGGGACCATCCAAAACATTTGTACCAAAATATAAGAGCTTCACGATCGACCCATCGGCAAATCTATTATTTAATAAAATAAAAAAACATGCCACAATCTTCAAACGATTAAATACGCCGTAGGTCCAAAGAGGTCGAAAACCCGCCTCAAACTAATAAACAAAGTACATAAACCTGAAATTGCAGCAGTTCACAAATACTATTTTTATGAAATAAAAAAAAAACAAATTTCAGGAATTTTTTACTATCAATTTATTATCAAACATATAAAAAAAACACGCGCAATGAACAAATTAGCCATCATTTCATCAAATAAACTAGTTAAGTATCGTTATAACATCTTCATAAAACTAATTTTTATAACTCTACACTGTTTAATGTCCAAATAAGTACGTATTAACACGATGACATACTTTCACATCAGTTAAAAAAAGTATTATTAAACGACTCGTTTATAAATTAAATCGCTTCCAATTACATTTAGAAACCGCATTTACGCAGACAACGTTCGGTTTACTTAATAGAAATGGAATAAAACCGATACTAAAGAGGAAAACATTTCCCACAAATGGCCGACAGGGTGATGTCGCAGTTGCAATTCCATCGATAACGTCACGATATTTGTAAATAGAACGTTCTAGACGTTCGTACGACGTCATTTTTAACTTTTAATTAATTAATTACGCGTAATTCTCGCCGTTACACCTTAATATATCGGAATTTGACTTACATTTTGTTGTTAAATAAGCGAACAAATCCGTCTAGGGTAGTGGCCATCTTGTCCTCCTTCCGTTTCCACACTAAAATAATATTAAAACAAAGTTTTATCGATCGTTACCGAATCGAAAATTTTAATAAATATTAATTAAATTCGAACTCACGTAGCAAAAAATTAATAAAAATTAAATCGGTTTATACGCCTTTATCGACGACGAGAAACTATAATACGAAAGTACAGTACAGACGAAAATAAATCTACGTCGATTGATTTGTAATTTACAAAATATCCGATTGGTTAATGATGAAATCAGGTTGTTCGATTGACCAATAATTTTTTATTATATATAAATTGATATCGAATGTTTTCGTGTGTGAAGTTTATTTGTTGTTCAGTTTAAATTATATTTTAATCGTTTATCTTTAAAATATTTTAAACATGAAATAAATGTTCGATTTAATTTTTAAATATTATTTTTTTATTTAAAATTATCAAAAGTTTTTGATTGGTAATAAAGAGAAAAAAAATTTAATTGGTTTACGTCAGCGTTTTTTTTTCTAAATGTATCTAAATAACTTTACGATTTCATAAACATCTGACGAAAATCAGATAATATATCATTAAATTTCTCTATGATCGTTAGAAAAAAATAAACATTAATATATTTTATAATTATTATTCAGAAATAATTTTATGAGTCAATAACGGCGTTTATAGTAAATTATTTTAAATTTTAAAATTGAAATAATTCGATTTCGAATTTGAAATTTCTTAAAAATACAAGCTTGATAATAAAATGAAAGCTTAATATTTTTCATTGAATAAGTTTGTTTAATTTTTTTAATCAAATATTCTGAATCATCTTTTTGACGATTGCTAATCTGTGGCTCGGGATTCGAGGGCATAGTTTCCTTTATATACAGGATTATTCTTTTCGTCCCGTGAGCAGTAATAAAGACGTTTTTCCAGGCCAATCGTGGGCTTGACTAGGCCCACGATTGCCCGGATAGTGAGGAACGGGCCCGATATATGATGCTTAAACGCTTCGACCATCCGGTTCGCAAAGGTTTGAGTTCGAGTTCGTGTTGAATCTTAAAAATTGTCCTGGCTGATGAAAGATGCAACGTTCATATCGGGCTTACGCATATCTATAATATACAGTATATGAAAAGAAGTCTTCTTTCAAAGCATATACAGTAGAGCATCGATTATCCGAATCAATTAGGACTGTGATTGTTCGGAAGATCGATGTTTCGGATAACCGATTGTGTACGAAAAAATATATTAATTTATCCCCTCTTGACATTTTTCTCCGTTGCGTGTCGCTTCGCGTTGAATTTTCGTCGATGTTAAGCCTAACGAAGACTATTGTATCGTTAAAAATTATTTTTTATTTTGTACGAACAAAATAAATATATTGAAAAATATAAAAACAATAAAAAATTATACTTCAGAAGTTAATTTAGTATCAAAAACGTAAAATATTTGAGTAGCCCAAGACATAGCCAAAGATAGCATCGCCACAACACTGGCGAAAATTTAAATTTGCCGACTGGAATTCTTTCGGATAATTGACGTTTTCGGATGATTGACTTTCGGATAATCGACGCTCTACTTACTGTATCTCTATGTAGTTTTCTATATATAGTGATTCCAATATAAGTTAACAGACGTCGAACCAGACTAAACCATTTTTAAACCATTCATACAGGAGAGATATTTAATGGCCCAGAGCTGCAATAAACAATTCGCTATTTACAACTAATAAAGCAGTCTCTCTCTACAACTGGTTAAAAAATGGTTTAGTCTGATTTCACGGACGGCCAAGCTGTCAAGATAGCAGTCTACCGCTCTGGGGGAACTCAGAATCGAATGCAGGCGGGTTAAAAAATCCCCAAGAATTTTTCGCGGGGTGATCCATCCGGATATGTCGGGCCCCGTTCCTCACCACTCGGCTACCCCATTGTGGACCTGGCCGAACCTATAATGGGCTTGCTAGAAGAGGATCCCTTAGTGCCCGTAGGTCGAAGTTTTAGAAAAGTCTGGTTTGACAACTGTCAACTTATATTGGAAAGATTAAAGCTCTACTAACAAAATTGATCCTTACTTAAATTAAATAAAACTTTGAAAGTTATATAAAATAAGCGATTAGTTTTGTCTGCTTGAGGGTAAATTATGTCGGCGAAATTTAATCCATTACTACGTGTATTATTACTTTTATTTATAAATAGTACATTATATTATTACTTCTCGATATAACTAAAATATTAAAAATAACTAAGCGACGCGTTATTCCTATTACGCTCGTAAATTAATGGCTTTACCGCAATCTTATTAGCGTTATCGAATTAAAGATGACGTAATTTTTCAAATTTACTTTATTTTAAACTAAAACAGAATTTAGTTTATTATTAATATAGGATGTATATAAAATATTTATATTTTTTAAATAAATAAAATTATCAAACACTTGTTCATTGTTGAATTTTATTGTTATTATTTCATTGTAAAAAGAAAAATCATCTGAATTCGCTACAGGGATTTTTGGCCAGTATGAATTTAGGGTCAGGGGAAAATCAACCCAAATATAGGGGTTTTTCCCTAAATTCAGAGGAAATCAGCAGGATAGGTTATGTAAAGTCTGTCCATATTGGTTAGTGAAGTTTCATACATAGTAGGAGCTAGGAGCTTCCAAAAGTCACAACTGGTTGGGTGTTAGCTGCGTTGAGTATTTTGCCCTATGTTGCCATGCTTTTGGTCTAACATACAGTACAGTATCCACACCGTCTGCGTCCTAAAGTGAAAATTTGTTTCTCTGGATTGCCAAAAGATTAATATTTTTTGACATACATTGCACCTAAAGAAAAGCTATTCAGGGGTTTCACGATAAGTTAGCAACCCTGGGCCAGCAGCACAGCCACTACAAGTGAAAGTGCCAAATATACTCAATCTTTTTTTTCTGATTCTCTCTGCCCTTTGGGCACCAAGGCGTTGAGAGATTTTATTAAGCCTATCGTAGGTTCAGCCAGGTGAGAGACTGGACCTGACCACTTTCTGAAAAATTCCTGGGTTCCTTAGACCTTAACTGCTTTGCCATCCCGCCTAGAACCAATCTAATGGTTTTGATTGATGGATTAAAGCAACGCAATACATGGGTGATTTGACAAGGGGCATACTTCCCGAGAGGGCTTTCTATGGGAAACTGGACCATATTTAGATGTTAAACATGAGAAGAAACCAGAAAATTCCATATGGTCAGGCACAAACCCACAACCAACTACCAGGGTTGTAGTTTTATTCACTTGTACTAGTGAGCTCAGGCTCAATGGGAATTTTGGGATGCATAGGGTACAGCTACTCTCTCATTTTGGATAGTAATTTATATATATTTTTAATATGTGATTTTATTGAGCAAAGCTGAGTACCTCAGTAGTATTTTATAAGGTATACTGTTTCCTTCCTGCATCCCTCCTCCAAAGATTTATGGAGCCACTTTGCTCAGGCCCAATGAAGGATGGAACCTAACAGTTAAACCAAACCTTTCATTTTTAAATAAAAATTAATAATCCCACTGATTTAAAGAAATTAATTCTTCTGCTCTTTAATAGATATTGAGAGAACAAAACAATAATTTGCTCTCTCAAAATTCATAAAAATAAATTATTATTAAAAGGAAAATTTATTATTCAACACTATTTTTTTATATAAATAAAATGAATATTCTATTTTTCAGAAGATATGATCTGGAACTAGTGTACTGTACATATATATAAAATTCTTCCTACAAACTATAAATTTAGAATTTTATGGGTGAATAGATACATCAAAGTTCATGTTAAAAGTTGTAAATTTTAAAGAAAATTTCATTCAATTTATATTTTAAATTCACAATTATAAAAACTATTATTTTAAAAAAGATTATTCAGAAATTAATTACATTCTAATTTCTTAAAATGTTATTTAATAGAATAAAAGAAATATTTTGTATTAAAGATTCTAATAAAATAAATTTTGTAATTATAACTTTTAATAAGTCAAATAATGATGAACATTTATTATATATAACACTGAATAAATTTTATTCTGTTAATAAATAAATTTACATTTATTAATTCTTTATTTGGAATACAGTAAAAACACATGATTTACAATCCATCACTTTTATAACCAGTTTGTGGGCAATAAAACCTGTTTTTATGCCCATTATGGGTTTTTCCAGGCTTATGAATGGCAACATGGGGTCCAATATAATCTGGATCAAAACATCAAAGTTCCTGATGATCTGATGCAGACTCAAATCTAGGTCCTTCAAAGTAACAGGCTGCATGTTTAGTGCTTGTCATATGGACACATCAAGTTAAGTATCCAAATGACAACTTGTACTTAATATTGTCTATCTTCTAGTTGGCCATTCTGACATAGTATTAGATTTAACACTATGTCCAAGAACCACCTCAACATATGACACTGAACTTACAAGAGATAGGATAGCCCACATTACAACAGTTCCAAATGAATCAATCGGTATTTAATTCCAAATAAACCATTAAAACTGAAAATCAAAACACTGATTTTATGTCAACATGTAAAAGTGTAAAATCACCAAAAATAAAACACTACCACCAAAGAAATTTACATCAAAATTAAGTTTTTGATTCCTTTCATATATGTACATTTTTGGCATATTACGTGAATAATTTTGTACCATTATGGATTATGATTGACAGGTTTTACAAACATTTATTGCTTTTATGAAAAATCTAGATCCAAAATTTTCTGATGTTTAATATCAAAAAATTTAACAATCTCAGAAACATCACTTCAAACTGTTTATGAAATCACATTAAATAGGAACAAGAACTGATCATTTAAAGTCACTGATATGTGTTCATATAAGTTACTGACATCTAAATAAGTGTTAACTTCAGAAAAATTATTTAAAAAAATAAAAACATTGACTAAAATAATCTATAATTCATCATGCTTTGGACCACTGAATTCTTCATGAGATATAAAACCATTCTTGTCTTTATCTTCATGTTGGAAAATATCTTCTACTAATTTATCTTGGTCCGGAAAATCTTTCATTCCTGCTGCTTCCGCTTCGGGAATTTGCTTCTTGATGTAATCGCTAACCTTTAGAATTAATAATAATCATATTTAAAATAAAAAAACTAATAATAAAAAGTTTATAAAATTGAAATTTATATTTTACTTCTTCTCTTGAAAGCTGATTATCCTTATCAAAATCAATTTCCTTGAAAATATTCAGAGATGGAGGTCCATCTTCAATGCCAATACATTCGACTTCAAAATAAAGAGTTGCTTTTGGGGGGATAGTATCACCTAATTTTATAAAATAATCAGTTATTATTAAATTATAAAATGAAATTACATTCATGAACTGATTTTAAGAAAAACTATAATTTGTAAAAAATTCTATGTATAAATATCCTCAAATTAAACATAACACACTACAAATGCAGTTGAGACCCATTACAAGTAAAAAGTCAAAGGAACCAATGGTCTACACATAACCCTTCAAGGGATATAGTGATGAAGCATACAGTATATAGATATATCCAGGAAGTAGTTGGTGCAATGGAACTTCTTATGTTTTATGAGCTTTTACACATCTCTAGTAAAGTGGAAAACAGTTGATTTTTAACATTATTCTGAGAAATAGTTCTAGATGTTTTCACTTTTAAATTTCAGCCCATTTTTTAGGGTCTTCAAAATTTCAGATAGGCTAATTTCAGGTCTATTTATGGCCCCCACATGGTAGTGACTGATTGAACCCTAGTCAGAGGGCCTGGTATGAAAATGACTAGCTTGTATTTTTTGCTTTGCTTGGATTTTCTTGTGGAATATTTAGTTCAATTTAATTCTTGACATAGTGTAATTAATATTCTAAACTACCATTATTAAATTAGGTTTGTGTTTTGTCTTGTTGATGCACTTTGTATTTCAATTTCTGTCACTCTTTCAGTTCTTGTATTAGTTCCCATTTTGTTTTCGTTTTTAATGTCATGTTCATCTTTGTAAAATTTGTCAATGTAATTCCTCCATTGTCTCTAATAAATCTAATCTATGTTTTTGTAAATGCATGCTTAATTTGTGAATGAAAATAATATTTTTTTGTCATTTAGCTGCCTTATTATATCCCAAAGCTGTTGCGGGGACTGAGTGGTCAGGTCCCTCGCCTCACACCAGTAAGATCTCTGGTTCGAATGGGAAGAAGAGGGGCTTGCCAATGATCCTATCTGGGGATCCCACTGTAGGATGTGGGGGCCATGGGACTATATCTCATGAAAGGTCACAAAGACAATTGGTTCCTGTGACTTTTTTACTTCTGTGAGTATGGCCTACAGCTTTAATATGGACAGGTCCAATTGACTCATTCATAATTCCATTTTTTTTTATTTTATCTGCAAATAATGCAGATAACACAAATAAACAATTATGATAAATACAAAAATTGCAGAAAATTTTTTTGAAAGTCACCTAGATTAAACAAATTTATTTTTATTTTATAAAGTATTAAAGTTATATTCTCACCCGCTCCGGCATCTCCGTATCCTAAATGAGGCGGAATGGTCAACCTACGCTTTTCACCTATACACATATCTATTAATCCTTGGTCCCATCCTTTAATAACTTGACCGACGCCGAGTTGAAATTTGAAAGGTTCTGATCGATCGTGGCTAAAATAAATAAATCATTTTACTTACGTATCCAGATTCATTACAATAAATCTAAAAATATTTAAGTGATAAAAAGAATTATTTTATCATCTTCAATCTCCTAATTCATCATTAAATCACACATTAATTATCTTTAATATAATTAATTACTTTATAGACTGGTCATAAATTCCATAATTACACACCAAACAGCATTGTATTTATTATACATTAAAATCATTGTTAAATTGCTAGAATTGAGTTTGTTTTCTAGATTATATGCTGTTAAAATCCACCATACTTAATCTGTAGAACATCTGTTACGACATAAACCGTTGAGATTTATGACGATCAGGGTTTATAGCTCGGTGCCTTACCTGGAATCGAAGACTCTCCCATCATCTAAAGTGCCTTTATAATGCATTGACAACATATCGCCTCTCTTCGTCGATCTCTCGCATTCTGTTGGCTTATGTAATACATCGATTTCTAACTCCGAATCCTCGCTTATTACCGATAAATAAAGCAGAGAGAATATTAAATAACGAGTGTACATCTCTACCGTTTTAGATTAGAAAATCACTTAATACACGTGGCACAGCACCTTTATATATCGAATTATAAGCCACGTGTATTACGGGATACGTGCTCCGATTGGTCGATTAGTATCGTTGTATTAAAGATTATGTAACTGAACTGTTTACGTGTGTAAACAGATTATTATTACTATCGAACTGTTTAAACTTTGCCACGTTTCACGTTGCTATAGAATTTTCGTGACATAATAGGAAAAAAAAAACATATTTTCGTGATAGCGCCATCTAGTAATCGAACAAAACTCGATTTTAAGTATCGGCGCCGCCTGGAGGAAAATATTACCTTTATGTTTTGTGTCACATTTTTATATTTATTTAATATTTTAATCCATTTTTGTTTTTAAACAAGTTTCTATTACATGAATTTCCTTTTTAAAATAATTAATCCATCTGAACCATTACACGCAATACAAAACGATGATCGGCAATACCACAAATTACACAGGTCAACAGTGGTTTTGGTGCCCAGGTATTTTGAGCTGATTTCATATGAATTTGATGTTATGAATTCAAATATGGCATTAGTTTTTGCCTAGGAGCTCTAATTTTTAAGATATAGCATTTTAGCGAAATACACGTTTCACTATCTTAAGTTAAATCCATGGATCAAGTAAAAAAACTAAACATGGAATTTTTATTATTATATTATGCAAATATTATTCTATACAAAGATAGAGGAAAAAGTCATCAATAAAACTAAACAGTTACACATTGAGGAAGCTTCATTTCCGTGAATTTCGTGAATGTATTTTGGAGCAATCCCTTTTTAAACTCCAGCAGTAATCTGCCATCATATGCATATCCTATCTTCCTTGGTAGCGGTCCTCCATAGTTTTAATATCCTGGTGAAATCTTTCACCTTGTTCTTCACTGGTGTCTCCTAAATTTTCAGGAAAACGGTCTAAGTGACTGTGTAAGTAGTGCATCTTAATACTCATATTATACCCAAGGAATTTGAAACTGTTAAGCATCTCGTTTACCAGTTCAACATAATTTTCAGCTTTGTGTTTGCCTAGAAAATTTCTGACAACTGCAACAAATGAAGTCCAGGCTTTTTGCTTAGCTTCATTCATCTAATTGACAAAGGCAAGATCGTTAATGAGTTGTCTTATTTGTGGGCCGTCAAATATTCCTGCTTTAATTTTTTCTATACTTAACTGAGGCATAAGAATTTTAGAAAGGCTTAGGTGGGGCATAGCACAAAAAAGGTTGGGAAACACTGATCTAGACACTGCACGGCTACAAGCTTACCTCAACTCTAGTTGAAGCATTGAACGTCAATTCATTACCGAATGCTTACTTCATTTGGTGGATTTACCTGGAACTAACTGGATGACAGACTAACAATGGGGAAAATATACAGGAATCAATTCTTACATATATGATTTAGTACAAACTGTACAAACTGGAATTAGAGCTGCACATTTCATGTAGCACTGTACGTTAAAAAAAAAAACACAGATCTAAAAAAGTAGAGCTGATAGAGAAAAACTGATTTTATATTTGGATTCAGTGACCCAATATAGTTAAAATCAGTTCTAAAATCCTAGGCACCAAAAAAAAATTTTTTTTTTGTAGACTTGTGTTATTGTATGCCCGAAATAAAAATATTAATGCCAAAATTATCAGAATAACCTCGTATTCTCCTGTCATTTGTGTCTATTATTTTATGTTTTATAATAACATAAAATAAATCTATAAACTAAAAAACAGCTGTTTTTAATTTTAAATTATCCAATAAGCGTTGACGGATTAAGAAGTGAATAGTAATTAGTTAACTTAATCCTTGGTTATAAATACAATTATTAGTGTTTGCTCTTGTAATACACATGCTAATTCCTTATTAAAAGAAACTGTGTTTAAATATTACTATACGATCATCCATTTAAAACTAATAGCATTCCAATTGAATATATTGAATCCACTATCCATTTTCAATACTACATAAATAGGCTTGGATAAAATGATTTATTTAGTTCAGTCAATGCACGCCCAATATCGCAATAGGCATGGGTTTGGCTCATTTAAACTTTGAGACATATCATCTACCTCCGTTCGATACAACGAAATTGTGTAGCAAATGTCTGATTTTTCGCTCGGAATCACATTGCCAAACCAATTTGATTCTATCAATCCAAGTCACATATTCAATGTTCGAAAAGTAATGACACATAACAGGCGTTAGAACTTGAATCGCAGCTAATAGGTTTTCTTCGTATTTCTAAAATTTCCCAGCTTAATTGACGAAAATTTCAAAGTTTTACTTTTTTCTTTGACACTTGCAGAGATTTTCTAACGAAATTTCATAGCGAGTGAATCAATTCTCTTCTAGAAATTGATTGAACGATATCCTAGTGTTTGGCAAAACATTCTAATTCAAAAATTAGTTACGTGTATATATATACAGCAGTGTATTTTGTAGAAAACAGACTTATTTTGATATGCAATTTCAATATTAAAGACTATAATTCCAGTATTGTTTGTTAATACACACGGATAAGCAAACCAATGACATTGTAACAAATGAAACAGGTATGTTGTTGGCTTGCTTATCCCGTGTTAGTCACTTTACCAGACATGCTTAAAACAATCCGTACGTTTCTATATTCAACAGTTGACTCAACGGTGAGAGAACGTTTCTAAATGGACCGTTGAGTTCTCCGTTGAGACTAGTGACGTCAGCGCTGTTTCACCGTTGAGCTCAACGGTCTCAACGACCTGAAAGACTGTTGAGTATTCAACAAACTAACAAGGCGGCTTCCACGAAAAAGTAAATTTCGCTTATAGAAACTATCCATTCGCTGCTGTGGATGCTGTAATAGCGAACAGATTAATGAACAATCTGTATATGATAAAACATGTGATTTTTTTCATTTGTCAAAAATTGATTACGACCGATATTTGGCCCGCTAAGTCTTCCTGATATAAATATTCAAGAAATTAATTAAAATTATTAAAGAAAGACCCAGTATACAAGAAAATGATACAGATATGGGTTCATTTGAATAAAGGATTTATTCGAATAATGGTTAAGCGAGTTACTTTAATTATTTAGCAAAACAGTCACAATCGCCACCTTCTCGTTACTTAAGTCAGCCATCTTGAAAGTCGACCTCTCAACGAAAGCGTTTCTTTTTTCTGCAAAACGTGACGTCAGATCGTTCGAAGGAGGGACTCAACGGAAAATTCACTGTTGAGTCAACCGTTGAATATAGAAACGTATGGAATGTTTTTAAGCCTTGATAGATATTTTCTGAAAGCTTTAAAAACGAGACATCAAGGCAAAAATATTTTAGATTCACTCTAATAACACACACTCTCTTAAGTTCAATACCATTCTTTAATTTTAGAACTTTACATTCAATAAAGTCCCAAAATATAAGTTGTTACATGATTATTTTGAAGGTCTGTGTAAGAATTAAATTAATAAGATGTAAAAAACAAAATATATTTTAAAATAAAAGCTTGAAATTCGTGTTAAAAACACTTTATGCCTTTTTCTCTAGCAATTTATTGTTTCTACACTAACATTTTCAGGTATGTTTAATGCTAATCTTTAGGCAACCAGATAAAGAATATCACAGCATTGAGTAAGAAAAATTACATAAATGAATTATGTAATGTTTCGTGTTCAAATTTTGTGATTTTGTTGATAAGACATTACGTTTAAACTTTTGGTGTGTGTCCTTTTTTGGAATTTAAACTGTAATATTCTACTTATAGTTGCCTGAAGACAAGTGTTAAACATGTCCAAAACTATTAATGCAAAACAACAAATTTCTACAGAAGAAAAAAAAAGCATGAAGTTTAACAAAATCCATTTGAAATCTGTGGTTTAAATGTGTGTTATAACTATTGTATTAACAACAGAAAACAGGCATAAGTATGGAAACAGTAATTCTTTTATTTCAAAATTACAGTAGCATTTTATTTGCTAATGACACGAGGGATGTTACCACGAGCTCCAATGTCCTGAAATTAGAATTTTTCTTTTATTTAACTGATTATGAGAAAATTTTTATTACAATTATTAAATTCAATTTGAAAAAAAGTTAAAATCAACTATCATTAAATTCTGGACAAAAAAAAAAACAATACACATTTAAATAATTTTATTTTTAAATTGACAAACATCACAAAACTATAATTTTGAGAAAGGTATGAAACATATGAAAAAAAAAAGCATTTCCATTTGCTATTTTACTCAAATAACAGATAATATATTAAGTTTTTTCCAATTAACAAAGAATTCTATTTTAACAAAGTTGCTAACAATTGACAGCCAAACTTGGCTACAAAAATTATGATAAAAAATGATAAGCATTATGCAATAAATTCTAGAATGTCCTCCTTTCCATTGCTTATGGTATTTTATTTTTCCTCCAATAACCTTCATATAATTAAATACACCTACCTCTATGACAACTTCCATGTGGGCAAGATTCTTAATATTACTATACATAATTTGATCATCTACTTTCTAATATAAATTCCAGTTGTTATTAGCATTATTATCCTCTAAAGCTAGTTCTTAAGCTAAAATATAGTAAGAATTGCTAATTTTGAAGTAATTTTTTTCTATACAGTTTAATACTGTTGCTGTTTCTGAACTACTTATTATTATTATGATAAGTAATTTAGAATTGTGAAAATCTGTGTTAACTGTGTGCTGCACCTGAAAGTTTCTTGACATATTAAATAAACTCACTGTTAAAACATTCTATTCTGTTTTATACCATTATGTATTTCTGTTCTAGCAAAGACTGCTTGAAGTGAATTACTTAAAATATATTTAACATACATTATGATACAGATCTCAACATCCATATAAATACACCACTAACACATACTTTGTAACACTTCTCATAAGATAAACACACGAGGAACTTAACCATTTAATAACTTTTTTAAAATTTCATTATAAATAATTTTTAATTTACAATATAAATCACTGAATGTCTATCTTCCATCAATTAATTTATTACAAGAATAAGAAAGACTAGCCTCAACCTTATTTTACATCATAAAAAGAATGAAAAATGTTTAAAACTACCAAGAAAAATTGTTTTGCATTCATATTTCACTAATTACAGGATAAATATCTTAAGAATTTATAGCATAATCCTTACACTTATCACACATTTATAGAAGAATGTTATGAAATTTCTATGAGAGATTAGTATAATTCTTTACAATTTTTCAGCAACAAATAAACAATATTTTCTCTTATATACTTGATTTCAGTTTATGAGTTTACATAGAGCATTTTACATAATAAATATAAAAATTTACAAAAATAGCTGATTTAATGAATACCCATATCTCCCCAGAATATAACTGATACAGTTTTTAATAGATAACTTTCTATTATGTAAATAGAAAGATTTAAAAAAAATTATGTAGAGATTAAATGTATAATTAAGGTATTACAAATAATCCCTTAGAAATCTCCAGAATTTCAAAAATTGTAGCTATTGACTTACACCTAGTGGGCGCTGGAATCGAGGTGGTGGCGTACGATCCTTTCGGGCTTCTTTTGATCTATTTCTGACAATCTTGGAGTGAATAGCACAAGACACACAATAATGGAGTTTTGCATATAATTTTGGTAGAGCGTAAGCTGTTAAATATAAAATTTAGTTTCTTTTTAGTAGCAGTAGCAGCTGTCATTTTTTAAGATTAAAATTGATTTGCAAAGTTCTAAAACAATTTTAATGATTTATAAATACAGAAAATGCTTCAAATATCAAACAAACAGCTAGAATTCCTTCATCAGACTATTAAGGCTAATAATTTACCAAGCAATTTCGCAGGGGGATGGCCACCAGGCTGACATCTCTTGCTAAATATAATAATTACAAATAAATAAAATTTTAAAATATTCTGGAAGATCAGCCCAGAGAATGTTTGAGTTGTGCTTTGGACTGATATTTCATTTGATATTTGAAGTAATTATCAGGTTACTTTTATTTATTATACAGAAAATGTTAATTAATACAATATACTTTATAGAAATACAGTGCATAATTTTATAAAGGGTTATCATACTCTTGAAACCATTAATGCTTTATGTGTTTCCTAAAATGCATTTGGGCTTCAGTATTAATGACCTTCCTCATCAGTTAGATAATCCTATTTTAAATATAAAGCAAAAGATTTTTTTAACAATATTACAAGACTCACACATTTATAAACCAATTAATACCATTAAAATAATAATAAAATGACATTAATTGATTTATAAATGTGTGAGACTTGTAACATTGTCAGAAAATGTTTTGCCTTATATTTAAAATAGGATTATCTAACCGATATGCAAATCTTCCCAGATTCTTCACAGAAGACAAGAATTATTACCTTGATAAACCTAAATAGCCAATTAAAAACATTCTAACAAACTATAACTGAATCTCAGGTACTTTTGTAGAAATACAGTATGCACCATAATACACCCATCTTGAACACTTGAGCATCTGTCAACAGGGCATAGCTCCAGCTGCAGGTGTTCCCAATAGTGAAAAAGAATTCATATTTGAGTATTAGGTAGGTCATACTGAAAGTCATAAGCAACAATTTTTTTATAAACCATCATCTATTAATTATGAAAAACTAAGGACACTCATAATCTATAGACTATAGACAGTGCCATGGGTNATCTTGAACACTTGAGCATCTGTCAACAGGGCATAGCTCCAGCTGCAGGTGTTCCCAATAGTGAAAAAGAAGTTGTGTTGTGCAGTTGTTGGAAATGGGTCTCTCAACATAGGAAAAAGTATTCATATTTGAGTATTATGTAGGTCATACTGAAAGTCATAAGCAACAATTTTTTTATAAACCACCATCTATTAATTATGAAAAACTAAGGACACTCATAATCTATAGACTATAGACAGTGCCATGGGTAAATCGTGATGTCATTAGCTTCCATCACGTGACCACAGACAAAATGGCTGCAACTGATATTTTGTTTCGCCAACATGCTGTGATTGAATTTCTCATTAAGGAGGGAATCTACACTATAGAAATTTGCCAGAAACTTCAGCATACTTATGAAAATATGTGTATGGGTACCAGCAGTGTTAGAAGATAAGTTTCCATCATTAAAATGCTTTACACAAGCATTAAAGATCAACCTTGTAGTGGCCATCCATGGAGCTCCATTATAAGCTCTGTTTTCTGGGAGGCAGATGGGGTGATTTGGGTTCCACACAAATCACCCATTTCTTGAACCTGGACAAACTATTAATGCTGCTTGGTACATCATGACACTTCATAAGCTCTGTTGCATATTGCGTGATAAATGCCCTGGAAAGATCATCCTCTAGCATGACAATGCAAGGCAACATACTGCTCCTTACACCATGGAGGAAATTCTGTAAATGGGATGAGAAGTTCCCCAGAATCTTGTCTACAGTCCAGAATTAGCACCCTCTGATTATTGTCTTTTCGGTGTTTAGAAAGAAAACATGCAAGGCCTATGCTATGAAACAGTGTAGGACATCAAAAAAGCGGTGCATCAGTTTTTTTTTCATAGTTCGGGGAACAAAGTTCTATCATAACAAAACTTTCAAACTCCCACAATAGTGAGAAAAATGTATCTAAAAAAATGGAGACTATGTGAAAAAATAAGTCTGAAAAATAATATGATGCATTTGTTTTTCCAAAAATAAATTAATCTGATTTATAAAAAATTGCATGACCCTTGTATTTCCACTCATACATAAGTGGTCATGAAGGGAAACAGAGTTTGAAAAATGGTGGCAGAACAATTCCTAGCGATTTAAAAAGACAGCACCAAGTAACAGTTATGCTGTCTATTGCTACAAGATTTACCATTCTGGTAGTGTACTGTGCCAACAGAAGGGGAGTCTGGTCAACCAGTTCCAGGATATGTTTGAGAATCAACATGAACATTATGAACACTGTCTACAGCAAGGCAGTGCACACTTCAAACACTTACATTATACATACTGTGGTAAATCAACATGCTAATAATGTGCATGTTACTTTCTTTCAGAAGAAATAAACTCACACATGACAAGGTAATATTGTTTGTCTTTTCATTTTAGTAGTGTATATTTTGGCACATACTGTACATTCTTCTAACAATTCCAAATAATCACCTTTCTTCTAAATTTCATTAAAAATAGAGAAAACGATTAAAATTTATGCTTTGTTTGAACTAAGCAATCCCTAATAAAGATGCCAACATTCTTCGTTGAGAACATGCTCAATAGAAACTGTAAAATTTAATAAGCCATTGATAATATACACATAAAGATTAAATACTTACTTTCATAGACACTTGCATCTGTGATATCTCTCACAGCTGCTGCTTCAACAATATTTCTAATTACAAATTTCTTAATAGCTTTATCTTTTGGAACACATCTTGCGCAATTGGTGCAACGGACTGGATTGACGTGTCCTCGTCCGTGCTTGCTACGTCCATTGTTACGTCTCTTAGAAGTCTGAAAGAAAAAATTACATACGAGTCTTCATATATTATGTCATAAAATAAAAACTAATGTATGTATACAAATACAAATAAAAAAAATGAGTAGTGTAAATATCAAGTGTGCCAATAATATGGAAAAATTGATTGTTGAAGTTAATAACACACCTTCATGCCAGAATATATAAAAGTATTTTTGAATACCATAAATTTAACTCAAAATATGGGACAGTTAACAGTAAAGCAAAAATACACAATATGTACTTACTCCAGCGCAGAATTTTAATGGAACTAACAAATATTTTCAGCCACATTTAGGAGCCTTCATCAGGTGAATGTGGCTGAAAATATTTGTAGTTCCGTAAAAATTTTATGCTGGAGTAAGTATGATGGTGTATTTTTGCTTTAGAATGCTATAAATTATTGTATTAAGCGCACAGACTTATATTAAGCAATTTTGTTCTCTCTCATTTTAATACAATGTGGAAAAGTCCAGTATATGGTGTTAACATGTTATAACAAAAATATGAGCACAAAGATCATTATTTTACCATAACCCAAATGTTTTCAACATTACATAATGCCTTCTTCAGGATAAAACACATTTGAATAAGCCCAATATAAAGCTTCTATTCCATTACATTTTAATGATTTATTCCAAGAGATTCAAGATCTATATTTTAAAGTAATTAACTTATTTCTGGGCCATACCACAATTATTACTTTACTGGGTCCTGAAAAAATAATTTCTTAAGTTTGGTGTAACTCAGTGATCAATGTTTGGAGTGGCATGTCAATACGGAGTGTCCCACAGGTAAATCATGACATAGTTTTGCTCCAACTGGACACATCATCATTCTGACTCTCATTTGGCTATTTCATACATAAACATGAAAAAAGAATATTCTAGAGTCGTGGAGTTGGAAGCAAATTCAAGGATAAAAAAAAAAAAAAAAAGTCAGANTATTATTATATACAGCTGTCCCTTGATAATCCGACAGGTATGGGACCAAAGGGGCGTCGGATTACTGAAAGTGATTACTTATTTGGCATTGTTTTGTTAGCAGTAGCCTACAATATTCCCTACTCCAACTGTTCGAACAGAACTGCTCATGGAAAACACACGAAATGTGTGTCATCGTGTAAGAATTGGGTGGGGAGATTCACGTCGCAACATGCTTTGTGCAAGCAGACACGTAACGGAGAAGGGTACCTTGACGGGAGGCACACTGGACTACTGAGCATGTCAGATTATAAAATGTTGGACTATCAAGGGACAGCTGTATTTTATATTAAGCTCTTAATATGGGGTATTTATCTCATATCTTGCATTATAGGAGGCTCTTGTAATGCAAGATCTTACTTTATGATAATTCCCCTACTTCATGATTTTCCTTTGCATATCACTAATTACTGTTGATTTATTTTTCAAGAAATTTATATTCGAACACATCTACAAAATTTAAAATTCTCTAAGTACTAAATTTTTAATGTCTAAAGATCCATACAAAATGGCTAAGATGACTCTGGTTAAATCTAGTGTTTTTTGAATGCTTTATTATAACCACAGATGGAAAACATTGTGCATGTCAATGTGTGGTTAAAGATGAAAATAATAGCAGTGATAATGAAAAATTCNACTACAGATATTAATAAATGTAACGTAATTTTTGTCATATGAATATAACAATAAATAGATTTTTGGTGAATTTTTAAAGTAATAAAACATGTCTGACCTTGTTTGACCTATACTGCCCTTGGTCATTTTAAACAATAAACGTAAACAGGGGGCGGGGTTAACCCGGTCATCCAAACGTTAAAGATCAACCATGTAGTGGTCATCCATGGAGCTCCATTATAAGCTGTTTTCTGGGAGGCAGATGGGGTGATTTGGGTTCCACACAAATCACCCATCTTGAACTTGGACAAACTATTAATTCTGCTTGGTACATCATGACACTTCATAAGCTCTGTGGCATATTGCGTGATAAATGCCCTGGAAAGATCATCCTCCAGCATGACAATGCAAGGCAACATACTGCTCTTTACACCATGGAGGAAATTCTGTAAATGGGATGAGAAGTTCCTCTGCATCTTGCTTACAGTTCAGAATTAGCACCTTCTGATTATCGTCTTTTTGGTGTTTAGAAGGAAAACATGCAAGGCCTATGCTATGAAACAGTGTAGGACATCAAAAAAGTGGTGCATCAGTTTTTTTCATAGTTCTGGAACAAAGTTCTATCATAAAGGAACTTTCAAGCTCCCACAATAGTGAGAAAAAATGTATCTAAAAAAATGGAGATTATGTGAAAAAATAAAAGCCTGAAAAATAATATGATGTATTTGTTTTTCCAAAAATAAATTAATCTGATTTATAAAAAAATTGTATGACCCTTGTATTTCCACTCATACATAAGTGGTCATGAAGGGAAACAGAGTTTCAAAAAAGGTGGCAGAACAATTCCAAGCGATTTAAAAAGACAGCACCAAGTAACACAGTTATGCTGTCTATTGCTACAAGATTTATCATTCTGGTAGTGTACTGTGCCAACAGAAGGGGAGTCTGGTCAACCAGTTCCAGGATATGTTTGTGAATCAACATGAACACTGTCTACAGCAAGGCAGTGCACACTTCAAACACTTACATTATACATACTGTGGTAAATCAACATGCTAATAATGTGCATGTTACTTTCTTTCAGAAGAAATAAACTCACAGATGACAAGGTAATATTGTTTGTCTTTTCATTTTAGTACTGTATATTTTGGCACATACTGTACATTCTTCTAACAATTCCAAATAATCACCTTTGTTCTAAATTTCATTAAAAATAAAGAAAATTATTAAAATTTATGCTTTGTTTGAACTAAGCAATCCCTAATAAAGATGCCAACATTCTTCGTTGAGAACATGCTCAATAGAAACTGTAAAATTTAATAAGCCATTGATAATATACACATAAAGATTAAATACTTACTTTCATAGACACTTGCATCTGTGATATCTCTCACAGCTGCTGCTTCAACAATATTTCTAATTACAAATTTCTTAATAGCTTTATCTTTTGGAACACATCTTGCGCAATTGGTGCAACGGACTGGATTGACGTGTCCTCGTCCGTGCTTGCTACGTCCATTGTTACGTCTCTTAGAAGTCTGAAAGAAAAAATTACATACGAGTCTTCATATATTATGTCATAAAATAAAAACTAATGTATGTATACAAATACAAATAAAAAAAATGAGTAGTGTAAATATCAAGTGTGCCAATAATATGGAAAAATTGATTGTTGAAGTTAATAACACACCTTCATGCCAGAATATATAAAAGTATTTTTGAATACCATAAATTTAACTCAAAATATGGGACAGTTAACAGTAAAGCAAAAATACACAATATGTACTTACTCCAGCGCAGAATTTTAATGGAACTAACAAATATTTTCAGCCACATTTAGGAGCCTTCATCAGGTGAATGTGGCTGAAAATATTTGTAGTTCCGTAAAAATTTTATGCTGGAGTAAGTATGATGGTGTATTTTTGCTTTAGAATGCTATAAATTATTGTATTAAGCGCACAGACTTATATTAAGCAATTTTGTTCTCTCTCATTTTAATACAATGTGGAAAAGTCCAGTATATGGTGTTAACATGTTATAACAAAAATATGAGCACAAAGATCATTATTTTACCATAACCCAAATGTTTTCAACATTACATAATGCCTTCTTCAGGATAAAACACATTTGAATAAGCCCAATATAAAGCTTCTATTCCATTACATTTTAATGATTTATTCCAAGAGATTCAAGATCTATATTTTAAAGTAATTAACTTATTTCTGGGCCATACCACAATTATTACTTTACTGGGTCCTGAAAAAATAATTTCTTAAGTTTGGTGTAACTCAGTGATCAATGTTTGGAGTGGCATGTCAATACGGAGTGTCCCACAGGTAAATCATGACATAGTTTTGCTCCAACTGGACACATCATCATTCTGACTCTCATTTGGCTATTTCATACATAAACATGAAAAAAGAATATTCTAGAGTCGTGGAGTTGGAAGCAAATTCAAGGATAAAAAAAAAAAAAAAAAGTCAGAGTCAATAAAAATGGACAGACTCCAACTCTTTTTTTTTTATTATTATACACAGCTGTCCATTGATAATCCGACAGGTAAGGGACCAAAGAGGTGTCGGATTACCGAAAGCGATTACTTATTTGGCATTGTTTTGCTAGCAGTAGCTTACAATATTCCCTACTCAAACTGTTGTAAGGAACCAAGTCCGTGCTTTATTTTTAGTTTACTTTTACTTTGCTTTATTATATTTTTGTTTGGGGCTTATGTTTGGTTAGGACGAAGGTTTCCTCACCCACCACCCTAACGTTCAAAACGAGAAGATAAAAGATTAACCAACTCACCGACGACGAAACGACAGCGCCATAGCTAGCATTGCACTCACGTGCACGCCCGAGCGGCAGAATTGTAAGTCCGCACTGAAGGGGGGGACACCCCAATAGACTTTCTAGGAACTTGTGTAACCTTAACAAAACATCCCGATAATNCTACAAGAAAAAATACTGTGAATAAGCTGATGTTGCTGAAAAAATATCGAAAGTAAACTGCTACTTTAATTTATAAAACCTGTATGGATAGGTATGTTTTATTTTTTAAAAATTTTACAAAACTTGTGTATTCCTTTTTATGTGTATGTTATATCCTTTTTAAATGTTTTAGTTGACTGAAGAGGGGCTTAAGAGCTCGAAACGTGTAATTTTTTCCACACGTATCAACTAAATAAAGATGAGAAAATCCGCCAAGTGTCTTAATTTATAGCACTATATTGTGTCAGAAGCATAAACAAATAGCAAAGCACGGTTTCATATCATCAAAATAAGAAGTTATAATTGAAACGGCGGAAATCATCGAATTTAGAGAAGATGAAAGTCGAACTACACCAGAACAGCGCATATAAGGAGGAAAAATTACAAGTAGGCTACAAGAAAAAATACTGTGAATAAGCTGATGTTGCTGAAAAAATATCGAAAGTAAACTGCTACTTTAATTTATAAGACCTGTATGTTTAGTTGACTGAAGAGGGGCTTAAGAGCTCGAAACGTGTAATTTTTTCCACACGTATCAACTAAATAAAGATGAGAAAATCCGCCAAGTGTCTTAATTTATAGCACTATATTGTGTCAGAAGCATAAACAAATAGCAAAGCACGGTTTCATATCATCAAAATTTGTTGTTTGTTTATAAATCTTGTATATAGTATTGGTTAAACTTGATTAAACATTTATTATTGAGATTTTTTTGTGACTAACTTTGTCCTTAATTTATTTTGGTGCACGCTAAAAGTCCAGGCCTGGCAACTAACAAACGCGAACCCGCGTAAAGTACCCGTTAAATCCCGGCTCTAAGAAAAATATCGTTGTAGAGCAACAAAATAAAAATAGTACTTTACACTGTTCGAACAGAACTGCTCACGGAAAACACACTAAATGTGTGTCATCGTGTAAGAATTGGGTGGGGAGACTCACGTTGTGACATGCTTCTGTGCAAGCAGACACATAACAGGGAAGGATACCTTGACAGGAGGTGCGTTGGACTATTGAGCATGTCGGATTATAAAACGTCAGACTATCAAGGGACAGCTGTATTTTATATTAAGCTCCTAATATGGGGTATTTATCTCATATCTTGCATTATAGGAGGCTCTTGTAATGCAAGATCTTACTTTATGATAATTCCCCCACTTCATGATTTTTCTTTGCATATCACTAATTACTGTTGATTTATTTTTCAAGAAATTTATATTCAAACACATCCACAAAATTTAAAATTCTCTAAGTACTAAATTTTTAATGTCTAAAGATCCATACAAAATGGCTAAGATGACTCTGGTTAAATCTAGTGTTTTTGAATGCTTTATTATAACCACAGATGGAAAACATTGTGCATGTCAATGTGTGGTTAAAGATGAAAATAATAGCAGTGATAATGAAAAATTCATCAAAAAACAATAAGCACGTTCAGTGATTTGATAGGAATGCCTGATGAAATGCCATTCCGAGTTAATATAATCAAAGTATATTTTAAATTATTATTTAGAGGCAGGAATTGGACCTTATAAGTCAGAGTTGAGGCTTAGTTGACTGATTCCATAGCCCTGGAATATTCCACATAAAGTATCATTAGGCCAGGTCACCCTAAAGCAGGAATGGGCAACCTTTTTTTTTTATGCAAGGGCCACATTTCAAAACTTTTGAACTGATTCAGACCACATACAAGAGAAAAAAAAGAAAATGCCCGTAAATCACAATTATTTATTCATATATTATAAATTAGGATAAGTATACTTAATTTAGCTTCTGGAACTGATGTAAATGTAATATATCAAAANAAATGCCCGTAAATCACAATTATTTATTCATATATTATAAATTAGGATAAGTATACTTAATTTAGCTTCTGGAACTGATGATATATATCAGAAATATTTGGTTAAGTATTAGTCACTGATAGTTTTAAATTAGTTTCAATGTCTGTCAGTCAGAGGATTTGTTGTTTTAATTTTTACTAAATTCATTGCAAGAAAAACTGCTCACATACTTATGTTGTATAAAATAACATTTGAAGTTTTGCTGCATACTTCCTTAAGCTGGATAATTGGTATATTTATTCATATTTTATGCAACATGGGCTGCATATTGCCCATCCCTGCCCTACAGTGTTCCATGTGTCACCTTTAATATCTGTAGAGCATAGAGTTAAAGATTTCAAAATATGAAAATTTTTAAACCGAAAACATGAAGCTATTTCTATCTAGTGTAAGCAATTGTGTACGTTTTTTCAAACACTTTACAAACAACTTGATGCTTTTATAATTAGTGAAGTTTTAAGTCACTGTCATAGAGAATACTACCAAGAGTTCTGAAAGTGCAAACCATTAAGAATCATATTGTCTTCTGAAAATAAAAGCATTAAACATAAAGTAGAGATTCAAACTGTCAAGTTAATAATATTTTAAATCTGGCAAGAAGTTTCTCATATGGTTCTGATGAAAGATGATTGCTTAGGTACTGTTTAAATGCTTATTCCATTATATGTTAGTCAATGGAATTCACCATTAACCAAATACTATTCTTTTACTGTATTTGCTTATGAACTCAATCATCAATATTTTTTAATTAATTGAATTGGACGGTTAGATGTTACCCCTATCCTTCATTTAAGTCAGAAAGGAAGAAATTATCACAAAAGCATTAATTAAGTATAAATATAGCGATATTTATACGTAATTAACACCTTTTTGATAATTTCTTCCTTTCTTTTTTTAATTATTATATACTGTACTAACTATACTGTACCAAATTGTAATTCTAGCAAGTTCTTTTTACTTCATTATTGTATAATCTGATCTAGTGATTAAAATAAACAAATTACATATATTACACCTTTTTCTCATTTTGTTTGAAGAAAATTATCAGTCCCAGTAATCACTATCTTGAATGTTATAATGCAGCTGCAGCATGGAAACATGGCAGTTATGTTCAGTTTTATTAAAAAATTTATGTTCTATGATGTTTTTAAGCATAGGCAACTTAATCTTGTCTAGGGGGTCATAGTTTAGGGTTTGAAATATATACTTGTTGATACATCAGTATCCAGAAACCAGTACTATACTATTTCCAAGAATAAGAATAAGATTCTGAATGTTTATCACTTTGTGATTGTAGCATAGCAACAAAGCTGTCCTGTGTTATTCAACACAACAGTACAAAAACTTCAAAAATTCAATAATACATGGCACTAAGTGACATTTTTATATTTTCAAATTTCTTGCAAAAATGTTGAAAAATTCAAACAAATTTTCTAATGTATCTTGTTAGGTGTATTGAGTTCACGGGTTGGATGTCACGCCAAGTTATGTCAATCAAAACTTCCAAGAACGTCAGTCTATGAGGCGTTAAATATACTTGAAATTATTTTTAATTTACGAGCACTTTCGACGTAAATAAGCACGTCGTCTTCAGGTAAAAT